AGACAGGGTCTCCCTGTAGCCCCAGCTGTCCTGTAACTCACTATGTAGACCAGGCTGCCCTTGAACTCATAGAGATCCGCCTGCCTCTGCCTCCCGAGTGCTGGGATTAAAGGCACGTGCCACCATGCCCGGCTCACTGAATATTTTAAACCCATTGTTGAGACCTTCTGCTCAGATGAAAGGATTCCTTTCTGTATATTACTGCTCATTGACAATGTACCTGATCACCCAAGAACTTTGATAGAGATGTACAATAAAATTTATGTTTTCATTCCTGCTAATAGAATATTCATTCTGTAGCCTATGTAACAAGGAGTGATTTCAGCTTTCAGTGTCCTTATTTAAACAAATCACACCTTTCAAGGCTATAGTTATCATAGATAGTAATTCCTCTGATGAATCTGAGCAGATTAAATTAGAAACCTTATGAAAGTGTTTCTCCATTTGAGTACAACTAAGAACATTTGTGCTTCACAGGAGATCAAAATACACTAAGAGTTTGAGAGAAATTGATTCCAATCCTCATGGATGACTTGTTTTATGACTTCAGTGGAGGTAGTTAGTAACTGCAGAGGTGGCAGAACTGGGGAGAGTACTAAGAGTAGTGCCTATGAATGTGACTTTAATTTTTGCAGCTTCATGATAAAACTTTAGTGGCTGAGGAACTGCTGCTTGTGGATAAGCAAAGAAAGCTTTTTTTTTTTTTTTCCATTGCTAGGGAATTGAACCCAAGACCTCGCAAGATGACCAGCACCACCACTGAGTCACATGCTCAGCCCAATAAAGTGGTTTCTTAAATGCAGTTCACTTCCTGATAATAAAGGATTTTCAGTATTACATCAGCTTGGGGATGCATTGACAAGAGGGTATGAGAGGACTGACACCAATTTTGAAAGTTCTACTGTGGGAAAAGTCTATCAATATCATAGCATGTTACAGAGATGTCTTTCATAAAAGGAGGTATTAATTGATGTGATAAATTTTATTGTCTTGTTTTAAGAAATTGTCACAGTCCCCAATTAACAACACCCTAAATAGGCAGCTGAGACAAGACCATCAAAAGATTGTGATTCACTGAACACTTGGCTGATTGTTGGTGGTTTTAGCAATGTAGTAGGTTTTCTGTAAGATAATTATATAGGTTTTTTTAAAGCTACAGTATTATTATACACTGTATGGACTGTAGTATAAGAGAAACATTAAGTTTCGTATGTGCTAAGAAACCAAAAGAAAATTAGGAAATTTGCCTTATTTGGACAATTTACTTCAGTT